TACGTAGCCCACCCGTGCCCATCGGGAAAGACGACAAAATAAACTATACAAAAAGCAGTTCTAAGGAAATTAATCTTCAATCTAGATTGAAGAGTGCTCGTCTCCAGTGGGTTCCTAGTATTGAAGGGGATGGTGGGGCAGCACATTGTACATGCCTGCTCTGAGAAATGTAGTAAACGTTTGCCACAACACACACATTAAAAAAATAATCTGTGTTTAGATTTAAAAGATATATATATAAAATGACCATGTGAAGTGCTTTGTAATTTTGTTACATGTGTGTGACCACGACGAGGACTGCCAGTCAAAAACACAGATTTTTTTTTTATATCTGTAAATGGAAATGCCATCAAGCGGCAGTGAGGACAAAGTGATGATATTGTTATAAAGTACCTGCAAATGTTTCACACGGCCTTAGTTTGACACGGCACTTTACAGGTTTTTACACTAAACAAATAATTTAGTAAAATATTGCCTATTAAAACAGCGTCCGTCCCGTCCGTCGGCATTTGATGAAGGAGTATCCTGTTCAAGCTGTTACCTGATATGACAAGGAGCAGCTGCTTTAGATTTAACAAGTTAAAGTCTGAAATCTCTTTTGCGCACCATACAAGAGTTCTGGAATGTTAATGTTTACCACAGGCTGAGTTATTTAAAATGCAATATGTTGGGGGTAGGGGGGGGTTAACAGCAAAAGCATTTGATGGTAAAAGTTAGTGCTTGTTGAATGTTCAACCTGTGAAATATTTGAAAAGGATACATCTCACCCAGTTGTTTCCCCCCCGTGCGACACATTCCTTACGCGAACTATTCCTACCCACTGCTTAAGATGCAGTGTAGCTCTTCCAGGGAACAGCGTTCCCCACTACACCCACTGTTTCTCAAGGGGGTGTGAACCGTGTGTTTTTCCCTCCGGAATGTATTCTTTGGTAATTTAAGGTTCACACTTGTGTCATTACCTGCTGGGCTTACAACAGCATCCATTCAGATAAAAGGCATTTGATCTTCACGTACTTTTACACACACAGACATAAATGCTGTGTATACATACCCTGTTGATTGTGATTAATGGCTTCCGCGTATCCAACGGTCTTCTCAAACGAAACGTAAACTAATTCCTTCAAATAATTATACCACTTAACTGTTTACAGTTCTAAATACGGGATGTATCAAATGTACGATTTTCAAGGAATTACATTTCGATCTATTGTCCTTCTAGGCCATCAATAAACTCGTAAGCAAGCCTTATAATAGGTGTCATTTGAGGGTTAGAAAAATAATTGGAAACAAAACGGGAAGTAGATTGCTAAATATTAACAAAGCTAACCGAAAATGAGACGAGTTATTCCAGGTTCTCAGTAGAGGACCTTTAAAGGATAAACACGTGTCGTGATTAAATGGTTGGCCTTCCGGGTGCTCATCTGCCACAGTTTTAATGAGTGCAATTTCTGCTCCCTAGGCACACTGAAAACCTCAAGCTGTCCTTAATCGTCGGAGGGAAAGTACAAATGCATTGGCTGGGCCCAATAAAGAGAGTTCCCAGGATATGCTATGTCTGGTAAGGTCACAGACATCAATTTTGTCATGCATTCCGCGAGTTTCCATTCACACCCACCCGCATGTCCTCCCTGCAGTCCCATGAATATTGAATCAGGCCCATCTGTGCAAAAAGAGGAATTTGGCACCTTTCTCTCCCTGATATTAAAATGCAGTCCGTTCTCCTATAACGCCGCGTGGTGGTTTCACAACGCGAATTGGATATAACGCGATCTAGTTAATGGAACTACGTCGCGTGAGTAGGAATACGCGGTTGAATGGCTGCCTCGGGGTAGCATCGCACAAGGCGTTGGGATGCTGCTGGATGCTTCTAGATGCTTCCCACGCGCCTCAGTCTTTGTTCAGCCTGCATACGCATCTCACGTGTTATCGCAGACTGTGCTTTACCCCACACTATATATTATTAATTATAACGTGAATTTGTTTTCCATAACGGGGTGTTCTTCAGGAACGCAACTACTGCCACGTTACAGGAGAACAGACTGCAGTTCATATTTTCACAGCATAAGTTATTTGTAGGGTGAAGTATTTTCTTGTTTGTTGATTTTGCGTTTTATAATGTTGGGTTTCGAAAAACATACACCACCGCGTTGATTTTTCAGTTATGAAGCTGTCTGTATTTTAATGAGCTACTTGTGCAAACGCCACTATTTATGGTGCAGAAACTAATTAGCACCGCGGTGCATGCGTGCACATACATTGGACAAGCTTGCAAAAATCCCTCCTGAACGTGCTTTATATTTTTGTTGTTGACTAGTTTGCAACTCTTTGTCACTCAACTGCTGGTTGAAGGCTTCCCCATTCCATGTCAGTCATGTGGTTTTGTTTTAGACCATACTTCACCATGCTGGTCAATGCAGGCTGGTAAAAAAAAATGAGGGGTGGAGGATCAGGACCGGTTCACCGATCAATCACTACTGATATTATCCGTGTCTGGGAATTGAATTGAGGTTGTTGGGTTCGTGGTGCATCACCACTCCGTCTCCCAGTGCTATTGCTGAACGCATATCAGTCTGGCACAGTACACGAGAGGGGTGGTGATGCAGTGGTAGGCACATATCGATACATATTCTTTGGTTCTTTCGGTAAAGTTACGTAGGTCGAAAAAATAATAAAAAATGCAATAAATTAAATCACGACGTTTCGATTGCAACACAAGCAATCATCATCAGATGTGAACAACCACAGCAAGACATTTTATACTGAAGTAAGAGAGAAGCCAGAGTTAGACAGTTAAATAACTCAGAGAGGGGGGGGGAGGGAGGGGGCGAATGGGGAGAGGAAGGACGAGCGCTATATATCGATACATCGAATCATGGAACGATCCATCGAATCAGCGATTATATCGATGGGTACATTCGCGATACCCGCATCACATTGTAGGGCAATAATTGATAATTCACAGTTAATGCAACTTATATGGAAATTATATGCGCTAGTGAACAATATTGTTTAAATCAAACCGTACAAATGAGAAGATAAAAAGTACACTAAAAAGAACGAACTTTATTATTGCATTGTATTGCAACTATGAATCGTGACAATTCATAAAATTGCTGGAGGAGGGGGTGAAGGGCTGGCTGGGTAAATCATTACATCATGGCTATGCCGTGGGAGATGTATGCCTTGGTCTTGTGCTCATACTTTGCACCTTGTACTCATTTTATAAAGAGCCGATTGCTTACTACTGCGCCATAGCAAGGGATTGAACCCAGGTTGATGGGATTTTGGCGTCGTGAGTTGACGCTGCTCCTCTCCTCCAGAGATTCTGCCGCGGTATAACGGTCAGCAACATTCGAGTTACAATCCAGAGGTCACCGCTTCCGTGTTCTGTCTCGCGCCAGGGCAGCCAAAGCAATGTCGCGTTCTTAAACCCCCCCCCCCCCCCCCCATGTCCACCGATCAGCATGAACAGGTAAATGCCGACTAGTCGACCGGCAGGTTGTACGTAGTTGGAGTTAAGTAAGAGTCAACTCGCTCCTCTTGCAAGGTGTGTGGTCAGGGTGGAAGAGGACAAAATCCCCTCGAGAGTGACTCTCTACAGCTGCCGCGAGCGGATGCCCTTCCGCCAGCAGTTGGCGTGAGCGAGACATTTGCAGGGCTGCGCCTTTACCCCCCCCCCCCCCACCCCCTCCGAGCGAGCGTGCAGCACGCATTGTCGTCCACGGTGTACAGGAGCAGAGTCGTTGTCGTGCGCGCGTGAACAACGCACGGCTGTGTCTGCGCAAAGGCGCTGCTGCGGGTCCCTTTTGTCCCGGGGCAGCTGGGGGTGTCAACCCGCGGCCGGTCGGGGCTTTTGACAAAACAGCAACGCACGGGCGCTGCTACGTTTCCCCCTAGCTTGCATTTTTGCACGTCCACGTTTCATTAGCATATCGTGATAAGCTACCCCCCTCACGCCGGCTACTGTATAGAAAACAAAATACAGACCCGATCCAGGCTTTTAAATATTTATTATAGGTTTTTTTTAGATAAATACTTTGAGCGCATTTTCCCTCGATTCATTTTGGGTAGCTGTCTTTGTGGAGTTTAATTTTTTTTGTGGGGACATTGAGAAATGGTTTTCAATGTTATTTTTAAACGCAAAACTTTACTTCTCGGTCCCCGTACTGTCATCTTAACATTCGCAATGAGTTAGGGTTAGATGCCCTCTAATAGGCCCTTCAGTGGCATATGTGCCCGTAGACCATCCCACAAAGCACTTCTCAAGCCACTTGACATTATGAAAAGTGTTTTTAAAATACTTCAGTTGAAGTCCAGTATTCTTAAGTGTCTCAGGAATGTTGTTGTTTTTTTTTCCCTTGTATAGTTTTCTTTAGGGTTTGTGTAATACCTCCTATTTGTGTAAATTCTGGTTAAATTTTTATTTATTGGAGTGGCAGAATTGGTCACATTTGAGTTATGTTCTGTTAATTCCATCGCGTTGTTCATTGTTAAACAACACGCCTTTGTGCATATTTTCTCTCTCTCCCATATGTATCAGCTTCCAGGTTGTGGTCACAGAGGCTTTGTGCCTCTTGAGGAAATGATATTAATCACTTCGTAAATGCTGGCTGGTTAATGGACACGAGGGAGAGAGAGAGAGACGCACACAGCGTTCGGCAAGGGAAGAAGGGATGTTGATTGAAAAGTCTGTTCGGGGGCGTTGCCGTCGATTTTGAGGGAGAGGCGTCAGTTTGGGTTTGCGTTCGGGCCGGGGGATGTACGGATGAGGGTTTTTTTTTAGGGGGAGATGAAGAGGAATTGAGATTGGGTGGAGGGATGCGGGGTAGAGGGGTGGGTAGGGGCGATGTGGAGAGGAGTGGAGTCAGCCTGTGGGTGGAGCCAGCCCTGAGTCACACGCTGCTGCATTCTTTAATGGCTTTTGTTCTGCACCGGTTTAATTTCGTCGTCGGCTACAGCAGCCGAGCGAGGTGAGGAGGAAGGGAGGAGGGGGGTGGGAAGGAGGAGCGGCGCGCGTCCACAGCTCTCGCGCTCTCTCTGTCCGTGTCTGTTCGATGATCGCGCGGAGAGACGCCACGTCGTCTGATGCCAAGGTATCGTCGCTGTTTGTTTGTTTGTGGTGAGGACGGCCAAAGTAAAATAAAAAAGCCATCGAGCAGCGCAGGAGAGGAGAGATTTGAACGGACTCGCACACGACAAAAAGCGGGAAACGCGGAGTCGACACGCGGGGCCGCCCGGGACCTCGCGCGGAGGTTGGCGGGGCTTGTTTTGAAACTCAGCTGCCGGGGAAGGAGGAACGGGGGTGGGGTTGGTGGGTGGCAGCAAGAAGGGGAGGGGGAGAAGCAGCAGCAGCAGCGGTCGCCTCAACGGCAGCAAAGCGCCACAGGACAAACCCGAAAAGTGTGTTTGAAGGAATCTGTCATATTTATGTTGGGTAAGTTGACGTCGCCTTAAAGCGAGTGGAGCATTAGCGCGGAGACTATTCGTGGACATTGCGTGCTCAGCGAGGTTGTACGCTTCTCTTCTCGAGTCGCTTGGGCGAACTGTGCCATGCAGCAGAGCAAGACAGCAGAACGCGACATTCTCATTTAAAGACAAAAGTAATGTAAGTTGCAGCGCGACATCGTTTTAAGGCCAGTAATCCTTTAACCGTGCTTTGTTTAAATCTGGTTGAACATTTGTTTTCGCTCGACGTCGACTGCTGCGTCTTACTCATGAGGATGTCTACAACGTACTGGTTGTTCATGGGGGTGGGGGGCAGCTATGCTGGCTCCTTAATTTCACAATTATGTGTATGCGCAGTGTGTTCAGCTGCAACTCGTGTGAACTCGGCTCTCCACGTGCTCGTCACGGTTAGTAGACTTGCGCAGCGGCATTCAAAACGCGTTTTTTTTAAGATGTAAAGTTTTACCTTTAGTCTGTTCTTTGTGACGCGTGCTGTGCATCGGTTGATAGCTGTGTGTGTGTAGCTGATTAAAGACCCGCCACTGGGATCTTTCGGGTTGATGAGACGGCTTCTGGATGGCCAGGGTTCAGATCCCTGACCTCCAGAGCCAGGGTCAACATGCAACATAGACCAGCAGGTTGATGATACACACAGCAGCTTGAAACTTGCAGGTGTGCGCCGTCTGTTATAAAGTAATCCTCATTTATTCACTTGAGATTACTTTGCGTCAAGACAGTACATACTAGTGCAGGGGAGTCATGATATAAACAAATGTCAAATTAGAAAATTATAAATTGTAAACAATGTAATTGTGTCAGTCCACTGCTGGACAAAGGCCATCATCCCATGTGCCGTGTCGGTCATGGGGGTCGTCTTAACCATACTTCAACCACGCTGCTTGGCAAAATTATGGACATTAAAAACACGTTTCCACGTGAGGGCTATAGAGTCACGGTTAAAGGGCTTTAAAATCACAGTTTTAATCGGTGGTAACATCTCGGCGTCTCTGTCTGCTCTAAGCGAGTGTAAATACGCACTCGACGTTTGTTGTTAGGGTTAAAGAGGTGGCCGTACTCTCTGACGGTCGGTGCTTTCCATAGAATGTGTTCTGTATCACTTGACATTCTTCGGAGTATCGTACACAATCGTGTCACGTGTTTATTAGGGTAGTATTGTAAAACAAATTACTTAACGAGTCACTGATAGGAGCAAACATTGCTACCCACATTGTTTTGGGCTCAAGGAATGTGTTGGTCATCCACCTGCTATGTGTGAGTCATGACCGGATCTTGGCCCGTGGTGAACTTTATGGGGAGGGCGTGTGAGGTACGATTTGGGGTTTCCACAGTCGGTTTTCATAAAGAATTGACAAAGGTCACAACGCACAGTACTGCTCAGAGCCATATATGATGACTACGTAGGTGTCTAGAACAACTATGTCCTATCACGCTCAATCTTTTTAAGTGACGACGAGACCCATCTGCAACTCTTAGCTGTGGTCAGGTCGCTTCTGAAAAATAAGTTAATAGCTCAATGGACTTTGCCTGGCAGGATGCCGATGAGCTGTGAAGCTCTTTTTCACACGTGTCCAGTAGGGGCACGGGGTAAGAAAGTTACAACAACAAAAATACACAAACACGACAGGAGTGCAAAGTACAAGCAAGATAAACAAATCACCCAAACACACACAGAAATACAACACTAAACCATCTCCATCCTACCAGGCAAAGCCCACTGAGGTATGAACTTATTCTTCAGAAGCAATCTGGCCACAAATTATAGTAGCTCAACAAAGCGACCCATCTTTTGGACTTTTATAGCAGCAAAATAATCTAAAATAATCTTAACGCAGGCGCGTGAAACGCACATCTCCGTGATATCGTCAAGCAACAGCGTTGCGTTGCAGGCCGTTTAGCGAATGTGTTTCTAATGACTCAAAGTGTACTTGTGATGTAAGAGTTTTCCTGGAGTGGTAAAGGGGACGTGCTTTGATCTGTGCCCCGCCAAAACAAAAAAAGTATTTCCTCGCACGTGTGACGCATTCTGCTGCTGTCGAGGGCGAACCGTTAGTAAACTTGTTAAATACTGATTGAGATTTGGTTTTAATGTTATTTTAGCACGTAGGCTTTGTGGATTCACTCTTCAACACATCGGTGGGCTAAAGTAGTGAATTATTTGTCTTTTGTCAACGTGATACTTTTTTTGCTGATTGGCCGTGTCGGGTGGTGGAGGGTTACGACACATTTATAAATAACGCGATCTAACCCAAAAACCTTTATTATGTTTAATGTTATTGTTGCGTGGTCAGAGTCATCGGCGTTTGCTCTCTGATCTAAGTACTGGCCCAATAAAAAATCAAATTGAGAAAAGTTATTTTACGTTGACTATGGTCACAGTGATGAATACATTGTTTCATGTTATCCGACTTTTTACAATGCGACCATACGGCTTATTTGATTCGCAAATGTGGATTGTGTACATATACGTAATGTAAAATGCAAATGTATTTTATACATTTAAAAAATATATATTTCCTCCTATATTTCCTCGAGCATAGTTATGGACGCATTGCAACGCTGCGTTTGTATTGCGATCGTAGCCTTCTCACGGGGCCCACCTGTTATGTTTTTTCGTGTTAGTGCCTTAAACACAACTAATACCATCATCTAGGCAACAACACCTAATTCGAGTCCTAGACATCGCACCTCTTGGCTTTGACATTCTTCCTCGAAGACACTGTTGGAACCGTCGCATCAGAACATCAACAGGCCTCTTAAGAGAAAAGCAACAGGAGGGCGACTGGGTCCACGCAACCAGTATTATGGGCCAACGGAGGAGGTACGTTGAGCACCTCCGATTAGCAAAATTATTTCAACGGACATACATAGCACAGCTGCACAAACTGTCCTGTGAAGCCCTCTAGTCTTGGCTAGCAGACCGTGACGCTGTCATCTAGTCACTGAACGTGACGCTGTCATCTAGTCACTGATCGTGACGCTGTCATCTAGTCACTGATCGTGACGCTGTCATCTAGTCACTGATCGTGACGCTGTCATCTAGTCACTGAACGTGACGCTGTCATCTAGTCACTGATCGTGACGCTGTCATCTAGTCACTGATCGTGACGCTGTCATCTAGTCACTGAACGTGACGCTGTCATCTAGTCACTGATCCTGACGCTGTCATCTAGTCACTGAACGTGACGCTGTCATCTAGTCACTGATCGTGACGCTGTCATCTAGTCACTGATCGTGACGCTGTCATCTATTCACTGAACATGACGATGTCATCTAGTCACTGAACGTGACGATGTCATCTAGTCACTGATCGTGACGATGTCATCTAGTCACTGATCGTGACGCTGTCATTTAGTCACTGAACATGACGATGTCATCTAGTCACTGATCGTGACGCTGTCATCTAGTCACTGAACATGACGGTGACATCTAGTCACTGATCGTGACGCTGTCATCTAGTCACTGATCGTGACGCTGTCATCTAGTCACTGAACGTGACGGTGACATCTAGTTACTGAACGTGACGGTGACATCTAGTCACTGAACGTTACGCTGCCATCTAGTCACTGAACGTGACGCTGCCATCTAGTCACTGATCGTGACTAGATAATCTAGTCACTGATCGTGACGCTGTCATCTAGTCACTGAACATGACGGTGACATCTAGTCACTGATCGTGACGCTGTCATCTAGTCACTGATCGTGACGCTGTCATCTAGTCACTGATCGTGACGATGTCATCTAGTCACTGATCGTGACGCTGTCATCTAGTCACTGAACGTGACGCTGTCATCATGCGCAAGCGTAGAATATTCGCTGGAGAATGGCAATGTGCCCGGGGGGTGCGCGAGTTGTGTGGACGGACGTTGGACCTGAGAGCGACAGGATGGGGAGGTGGATCAGGGTGGCCCAGCGGGGACCCAGCCGGGCCGTGCTTATCATCTGTTGAGATTCGCGTGGTGACGCCATCCGTTCATAGATGAGGTGGTGGTGGGGGGGAGCAAACCCCCATTGTGTGCGCAATCTGTCAAGCGTTGTTTAAACCCGATAACTCTGTTTTCTCAGCGCTTTGACATAGGACTTCCTACGTAGCCATTCGCCAATGACAGCGAATGATTAATGCGCGCGACATGTGGCGTGTAAGGTTAAACACGACGTCTCCCGCCCACTATTTATATATTTTTTTTACGTTTCTGAGACCACACAACCGCAACGACGACGACGACAACAAGACAACAACGAGAGTTAACAACAACGAGAGTTGACAACAACGAGAGTTGACCACAACGACAACAAGACAACAACGAGAGTTGACCACAACGACAACAAGACAACAACGAGAGTTGACCACAACGACAACAAGACAACAACGAGATTTGACAACAACGAGAGTTGGTGTGCGCATTTCGCCTCGTGCACAATTCAGAGAAAATTGTTTTTTGTTGTTGATTTTATTTAATAAGCGCCGATCCCGTATTGAGCTGTGACCTCGAGAACACTGCTGCTCATGCGTCACGACAGCCCACCACGGTCAATATTTGCGGTGAAGTTTTTTCCCCCTCTTCCCCCCCCCCCAATGGCTCTCTTCCAGCGAGATCACCGCAGCCCCCCTTGACGTCATCGTTATCTCTCATGATTGTCTGTGCATAAAGGGGGGGGGGGGGCGGGGGTGACCGCTTGCCCTCTGATTGCCACTGCAGTGGTAATGCTGATGATGCTGCAGTGAGTTATAGGCGGATAGAGCTCGCTTCGTGACTCAGGTGTGGTATCCTCGCATAATCTCCCTGCCTGGTGTATCGCTTTGTAAGCGTTCCATCTTTGTGTAAGTGTGTGCGTGGATCGCGCAGCGCTGTGGACCCGGCGAGCCGGGTTCGTCGATTCCCGCTCACGGCCCAACACCGGTGACGATTATCTGAACGGGTCCTGGGCCTCCCTGAGGTCGACTCAGCCTCAAATGAGTACCTGTTGTAGTGTGTAAACATCGCCACTTGGGAGACAAATGCGGCCATGCGTGGTTGCTGGTCACCCACCCCCTCGTGTGCCGTGCCGGCCTTCATGGGTGCTCGCGATCAGCACTTGCCCCTACAGTCTGTTACAGGCTATAGGGAGTGTCTTTGTGTGTGTTTGTGTGAACGATTATGC